ATGGTAAGTAGTAGTGGGATGATGTAATAAGTTATTTTATTTTTGATTTAATTTAATAAGAGGGAGTTAGGAGGAATAAAATTAAGGGGTAGGGAGTGTAGAGGAAAAAAATTAGAGTGAGGACTGAGGAGGAAGTTGAAAAGTGGTTTAGGGATTTTTAAAGAAGTTCCCCAACAGATAAATGATTTGCGAAATTAATTAGCAAATATTGTTTTAATCATCTTACTTAATTTAGGAAGTCAACGTTTTATTTTTTAGTCAAACTTTCTATTTAGGTATTTTTCCAACAACCTTTTTATATATAGATAGATACACGCAATTTATCTCGGATCATATAAGACACTTTTTATATCATCACGATGCACTTTATAGAAATACACATTTTTTTGCACATTATAAAACAACATATTGCACTCTATACAATCCACAATTAATATCAATAGTTTCCACCAAAATACCACACGTTATAAATCTAAAAAATTTATCAACATAATAATTTAACATCCATCATATCATCCGTAGAAAAGAAAAATACAAGCATGTTAACGTACCTAAATTACAGTAGTACACTTTCTATATCAACATGTTGCACTTTATATCACACAGCGTTGCACTTTATAAAACAACTCGCTGCACTTTGTCACGACACTCCACAATAGAGACTGAAATCGACCAAACTTGAATTTTTTCAACCACAAATAATATAAAAAATAATAAATAAAATTATTAACATAGTAAGTATAAATTTCGTATAAATAACACATCATTTCGATTGGTTATGATATTTCAGTTAGCCGAACCGAATAAATCGGTTGATTATATTTATTTTCAACTCGATATGTGAGAAAATGTTCGGTTGGTTCAATATGCACAATACAGACCGTCATCGTGCACCATATTGTTAGACAGATTGCGCAATAATAACTGTTAGATTGCACAACACATAATATATTATTTTTTAATCAAACATAATATTGAATAATAAATATTAAACAATAATTTATATTAATTAATATAATTTCAATTATTTTGGTTATTCAGTTAACCGAAAAATTAAACGTAAATATACGAGTAGGAAATGACCCGCAACGTAAGATTTTTTTAGGGGTTTTATTAGTTGCGTCTTTTCTCGTCTTAGATTTGGAAATTATCTCATATATACATGTCGTCCAGTGTTCTAAATTGCGCATAGCCATCGCATCGCTTTTTGGTCCTGATATTACGTAGCGTAAATAGCGTAGCGCATTGCATAAGCTATTCGAGCAGTCCACTTTAAATGCCAAAAATAATAATAATATTATATATAACCATACAAGTAAATAACTAATTAAAATAGTCTTAAACCATAAACTTTAACATTCAATCTAAAAAACAACATTCTAACATTAGTTCATACAAACAACCCAAAGTCATAATCTTTAAAGTCAAGACTCAAAATCTAAAAATAATTGGTCTCATCCAATTGAATTTGGCTATCATCACCAATGCTTTTCTTCCCGTTGACTTTAATAGCATATTTCTAGCCGATATCTCTATTTGTCGTCATTGCTGAAAATGGGGAAAAAAATCATAAACGCAAAATCATGCTTGTTCATTATTTGACTGTAATAAGAACAGTAATCACAACAAAACAGTAATCTCTTCATCTCTTCAGTTATGTTTGGATCCATTTTCTTAACATAAATGATAAACAAACTAATAATTTAAGTTTAGAAACATTAACTCAATCATTCTAATAAAAAACAAAGGTTGCATACTTCTTTACAATACCTCACTGATGTTCCATTACCAAATGGAAATAATTCAGGACACAATTCAACTATAATGGAATCATCAAATTAAACAGAGTTGTTCTATACTTCTAGTCTTCTATATACTCCGAATCATATATATATATATATATTAAAAAAAAAAAAGGAATTGTAGCCATCAGATCCAATCAGCAAATAGGAAAATACACATAAAAAAATGCAATCAAACATCAAGCTCAATCAATCCTTATGTCTCCCTCTATTAATTTAATAAATAATCATTCCAATTTAAAAAAAAAAAAAAATGAAATCATTCACTAGCAGAAACCCAATTTCAATTGATGTTATGTGAAGCTATTAAAATCTCAAATGAAAAACAAAATGATACCTTTGGAGTTGAAATGATGAAGAGAGCCAGGCTGTGGTGGATCCGTGGTGGCTGCGGTGGAGAGGCCGAGAGGGAGATGATGAAGAGAAGTGAAATGAGGGTTTCATGAATTCTGAGTCTCTGATTGTGATTTTCGTCCCATCAATTTTGTTTTTCTTTCTTTTTTTTTTTTTTCTGCCTATAAAATGCGGAAACTAATACCCACATCATCATCGTCCCCAAGCTCCACGTCAGCATCATTGGACCCACCAAGTAGAGAGAGGAAAATTAGAACGGCAACAAGTTGTGTAGCAAGAAAGTATTTTGCTCCTCTTCTAAATTTCTTCTCTTCCTCCGTTTTCTCCCTCTTAGGTTTGCTCTTCGGTTTCGAGCCTAAAAGAAAACATCGTGCAACGAAATTATTTTCCATTTTTCAACCTTCACTTGTATTGGGATATTACTCAATAACAAGATAAAGGGCTGATGGAAACAAAACACAAATTTCGGCAAATTAACCGATTGACCAGCCGAAAGAATGTGTATTTAGTAAAGTATCGAACTAAAAAAAGGGAAGAGAAATGCAAAAGTTGACTCACTCCATTATGAAGGGGCCGGCCTTGAAGTAGATGACGCGGCATCTGTCTCGGGAGCTGACGAATATGATGAGCTTGCATCGAAATACTCTGTTTTGAAATTCTCGGCATACCTAGCGAGATTACCATGGCCCAAGAGCTTGCTTCTTAGAACTGATGTTTCCTATAAGGTGAGGCAAAGAGGTTTAATAATTCGCATCACATTAAGCTCGTCAGCGATGAAAGAAACTTGTGTAAAGTGAAAACAATGATGTAAATCCTTAACAAAGTTCATCAATATGCAGCCATATTGATTCAGCAATGGGAGTCAAGCGCAAGCACCACAAATGTAAGATACATAAGACAGAAATTCTCATGTGAGTATTTGTGTGTGTGTGTGTGTGTGTGCATAATGATTAATGTCGATTTTAGTTATTGACTCAGATTTGCCAAATACATATTTTTCGGTATATACTAAAGAGATGTGATACCACATTGTGGCGGCCCTTCAAATGTAGAATGAAGGTGGAAATAAAAATTAAAAAAAAAAAGTCCCATGCATGAGACACAGCCACACCACAATGTAAATATATATAAAGAACAAGGAAACTGGATTAACAGTATTGACCATTAAAATTAAAAATGGAGAATTACGATTAAATGTACTCACAGGTAAAGCATGAAGTGTAAACAGAGCATGCCCAAGAAGAGCTGCATCAAAACTCGTAGGCCTGCATTGAAATAAGTCGTACAGTCGACATGCTATAGCAATCCAAAAATGGAAAATTTTCTAATAAATAGCAAAACTAAAGATTATGGACCACACTTAAACACCTGCTTTCAAAGAAAAACGATTGTTCTCCCAACAAAGATGATAATGCACCATAAGCCTGAACTGCTCTGCTGTATATCTGCACAAAAAACAACATAATAAGCTTTTATATATGTGGAAATGAGGTATTTTATTACACGGGTTTTTCATTTTCAAAGCATAATGCTGGAAACCAATGACGGAGCTACATTAGGGCCAGGGGGGCCCACGATTTTTTTTAAATCAATATATATGTATATATTATATAAAGAGAAAAAATACTATAAGATATGTATAGAAATGTAAAAAGTATATAAAATTTATCAATACTTAAGAATTTTTTCTATGCTATATTAATTTAAATTAATAATATTATTTATTTATTGAAAAATGTACTAACAATCCTTATATTTTACATTTCGAGATAAGTTTTTGAAAATATTTATAATGATTTACTCTTTCGGTTTCTTAATTGTAAATCAATTTAAGGATTTATAAAACCGAATAATTAGTTGGGTTGTTACATTTTTTAATATTGATTTTTTACTTTTTCTTTTTTTTTTTT